TGTTTCATCTGAACTACACTTCACCAGGTGTTTCATCTGACCTACACATCACCAGATGTTTCATCTAAACTACTATGGGGTCAGATCAGTCTCAATAATTGCAAATGCACGCAGAACGATTCACAAATACATTCCAATGCACACATAAATAAATTACGATTTATATAAATGTAAAAAAAAAAATCACAAATATATTTCTGCATTTGTATGTATTTCTGTGTGGATTTTTTCTATTTGTTTGTGGATTTGTATGTATTTGTTTGTGGATCGCTACACATGTATTTGTGGTTTTTTGAGACCCTCCTGACGTGGCTGGATTCACTAATGCGTTTTTTTCAACGTTCTAATTGTCAACCAATCACATGAGCGCAGCTCCCCCCTCCCCTCCCCACGAGGCTGCTGGCATTAGAGTTGCGCAATTTGCGGAGGTGACAGGTCACTTCCTGTTGCAAGCAGTCACTGTTTTGGTGCGGATTCCGCGGTAGTTTAGCCTTTATTTGTCGTTATTTGACATTATGTGACAATACATTAAGGTCATTGAAGGTATGACTGTTGGTAGTTGTAATTGGTTTCGTAAAAAAAGGCCGAATTGTAATAGTATGGCTACTCGTTTTTATTAGCAAGCTAATATAGGCTAACATCAGTTGGTACTTGTTGCCATGGCAACGATACACACTTTCATGTAGACTGAAGGAATGCAAATTGTAAAAATGGATAATATGCATATAACCTATTGACTTGGATATATATACATATATATGTATGTATATATAGGTACATGTATGTATCTATATAAATATATTAATAGGTATGTATATATTTATACAATTTGTATACAACTTGTTTTCTCTGTTTGTCCTGTCTGTCTCAACAGGACAGTAGTTTGGGGGAGGCAGTAAGAAGAACCTGATCACGTGTTTTTACTAAACTAGTCATTTTGTTCATTCGTTGTTGAACTAAAATCAATAAAAGTCACTTCCTGTTGGTGTTAAATGACCTAATCCTTGTCTCTGGTCATCTAATGAGAATAATGATGAGAAGAGTTATAATAATAATTATAATTATAACTATAGTAATAATAATAATAATAATGACAATAATATTGGTAATAATAATAGTTAAAATAATGATAATAATGACAATAATAATATTAATAATAATGACAATAATATTGGTAATAATAATAGTTAAAATAATGATAATAATGATAATGACAATGATAATAATAACAATGACAATTAAATAGTAATAATAATACAAATTATAACCATAACAACAATAATAATAATAATCATTATAACAACAATATTGATACTATTAAATGTAATAATTATAACAACAATAATAGTAATAATAATGCAAATAATAATAATATTAAGAAGAAGAAGAATAGGATAATAATAATGACGTTTAACTGATAATACTTGTGTACATTCTGAATGAAGTCGTACTGATATTTTTACAGCAGTATTTGATGAGTACAAACGGAGACCAAGTTAAAGACTGAAAAATATGAAAAGAAATGAAAACTTTGTTCAAACCTTCTGATGCTGCTGCTCTTCGTCTTCTTCTTCTCCTCCTTATTTTTCCTCCTCTCTCTCTCCTTTCCTTCACTCCTGTTGTTTCATTTCTCTCCTTCTTCTTCTTATCCTTCTTCTTCTCCTTCTTCTCCTTCTTCTTGTTCTCTTCAGTCGGAGTTCATTCCAGACGAAAGACGAATGGAAGCCAACAGACTGACTCACAGAGAGAGAGAGAGACGTCTGTTTTCAATCGGTCCCCCTTCCCCCCCTCTCTGACAGGAAGTGAACCCAGTCCAACACACACACACACACACACACACACACACACTGAAAGGTATTTTTGTGAGTTTTTCTCTCACTTTAACTGTTTCAGTGTGTAAAGCTGATTAAATAAATTGGGGTGTGTGTGTATATGTGGTGTGTGTGTGTGTATATGTGGTGTGTGTGTGTATATGTGGTGTGTGTGTGTGTGTGTATATGTGGTGTGTGTGTGTATATGTGGTGTGTGTGTGTGTCAGAGAGACATTAGTATCAGCAGACAGGTTGATTAATTGATCAGTAATGAATCAGTTGAGGATCAATAAAGAGGAAGAAGCTTCAGTCTGAAATGGAAAAACACTTTGTTTACATTCTTCACATGATTTCACATATATATATACAGTATATATATATATATATATATATAATATAACTATATATAACTATTATATATTTATATAACTATTATATAACTATTCAGATATTTTTCACTCATTATTTCTTATTGGATATGTTACTAATATATTATTATATTTTTCTAATATTTTTTAAATATTTCCCACTGATATTTTCCTCAACTCTTACTAACAGCAGTAATATTATCGCCGTCTGTCTCTGTGTTGTTATCCTTCACTCGTCCACCAGGTGGCCTCAGACTCACCTGTTTACGTTCCCCTCATGAGCCCTGCAGAACCAGAATCAGAACCTGAACCTGAACCAGAACCAGAACCTGAACCAGAACCTGAACCAGAACCTGAAGTCCTCTGTCAGATATGTATCAGTAATACTCAGTACTAGTACTCACAGCAGAGTAAAAGTACATGATTATTTACTGTCAGGGTAAAAGTTTTCATTGAATTTAAACTCCACACTGTAAAGAACCTTTAGCTGAGCTTCTGTTTGTGTTTCAGTTTTAAACTCGATGTTTAGAGGACTGAACTGTAAAAAACATGAGGATTCACTTTTTAAACTTTAATTTTCTTTGAAGAAATCTGACAGTAAAATTTAAAATGACTTGTTTCAAATCAAGTTTGATTTGTCCTGATTCATACTTGGTCTTTTTAAACTGGCCGACGTGTTTGTGATGTTTAAATGTAGTAACGACCCAGGTTACCCTAGCCTGGGTTAACCCGAACCTGGGTTTACCCTATTCTCACAGTAACCCACACAGGACTCTCCAAGTCCACATGAAGTTAAAACAGATGGTTTCATATTCACTTCTGAACTACTGCTTCTCTATTTACGCTCAAACAACATTTAAAATGTGTTTAATGTTTCTTTCATTTCAAGTAGTTTATGTAGTTTTATTATTTATTGTAGTTTTATATCATAATATAAAACATTTTGAACTGTTAAAGTTTGTTGCATGAACAAATATACCTTAAAATAATCATCAAAACCTCAACCCTTTAAACTCAAACACTTTAATAAAGATGCAACACAAAGCAGATACTTCTGTTAATTTGTAAAATAAATACTAAATCAAACAAGCTGAGCAGCAGATTATCAATATATCAAAATCATGTTGACCAAATCTTATAACACTTTCAGTTTTGTATGTTTTAGTGTTAATAGCGTTAATTTAATTATTATTATATTAAATCAGAAACATTGTCGTCAAAGTGAGACAATGTCAGACTTCATCCAATTTTTAAGAAGTTTGAGAAGTTGGTAACTGAGCAAATGATGATGAGACGGTGCCGACTGACTCCAGAAGACGTCCTCAAGTTTCATGAGGCCCTGAAACTGAAGTTCACCTCTTAAACTCTGATTCTTTACAATCAAACGATCTGCTGACAGAAACGCGCAAAGAGTTCATGTGATGAGCCGACAATCATGTAAAATGTTCACAAATACACAAGTACAATGAATAAAGTACTAGATATCGTGATATATATATTTATTTATCTAACCACTGATGATGGGAAGAGTGTTACAAATGGTTACTTGCTTGCGGTGGGTGTCGGAGGGAGGGCTATCTGGCTTCATGACCTTTGTGGTTCAGTACCATCTCAGTACCATCTCTGTACCGTCTCTGTACCGTCTCAGTACCGTCTCAGTACCATCTCTGTACCATATCAGTACCATCTCTTTACCATCTCAGTACCATCTCTGGTTCAGTGGTCAGAGCTCGGGATTGTCATGTGACGACCCTCCTCATCCACTAGGTGCTGCGGTTGTGTTTGATTTTCTGTTGAAGGTACTGACTGGAGGGTTGTCAGCTGAATGAGCCTCACCTGAGCTGTAAACGTATGTAAGTGTTTAACCCTACACACACACCTACATTCCTGCAGCAGGTTGAACCTGTTGAACGTTTCACTGTAAAAACGTTGGCAGTTAAAACACCTGATCATCTTCCTGACAGCTGATTGATTCAGCTGTACAGGTGTGTACCTGTTACCCAATCACAGCTCTTGTTGTCTCCATGTGAGTTAACCCTTTAACACACAGACACACACAGACCTGGAGACAGTAGAAGTGACGGTTCAGTTTTTATGAGTGCAGGTAGATCATAAACAGGACGTTCAACATGTGAAGCAGAAAACTTCAACATTTACCCGCACACAGACAACAGAACAGACAGACAGGTGAACAGGTACACAGGTAAACAGTCAGAGAGGTAAACAGGTACACAGAAATCAGGTGAAAAGACAGACACAGGTAAGGAGGGCAGAACGACAGGTGAACAGCAGGAATCTCAGGTGTTCGCCGTCACTGAGGAGCTCAAACAAAGTAAGAAGTGAAGTCATGATGTTTATTCTTCTGTGGTTCTTATTGTTGTTTCAGGCGTATTAATATTCATGTTTTCAGTATGATTTCTTCTTTGTTTGAGAAACGTTACACTTCTAACAGAAAGTAACTAAGTAGCTACATTTACTCAAGTATCGTCACAGTAACCAGTAAGCATTCAGTTGATGCATAAAATCTGAAAGTATTTATTGATTTATTGACTGAACTTCTGAAAATATATTCAAAGTATTATTTATTAAAAGTTAAATATATTATTAATCACTGTGACTTTTACATTAATAGTTTAATACTGTTAAGATTAATAATATATTGAACTATTAATGTAAACTTCATGTTTTCAGAGCAGCTGACCAAGTACAGGATCAAACAAACTCAGGACTTTCACCCAGGAGAGTCCTGTTCATGTCCTGTACAACACATTGTCTCATTTTACTAATGTTGTGTAACTTACTTGCGTATCTAATGCCAGCTCTCTAACAAACCTAGTAAAGCCTAACCAAGTAGTTTAGTTACATTAATAAACCTAAAGACTCAGTAACTCTACGCTGGAAGTTTATTTTGAAAAGAAACTGTATGCATGGAACAAGAGGAAACTTTAGGTGTGAATCAGGAAACAACCTCCGGTTCTTCAAGTGAAGCCAAAGCTTTATGTGTTAAAGCTGCATTCTCTCTAGTGTCCACCAGGGGGCTCCTCTGGTTGTATAGAACTCTATGAGAAAATGACTCGACTTCTCTCTTGATTTATTACCTCAGTAAACATTGTATTGTTTAGTTCAGATGTTCTATATTTCAGACGTTCTATATTTCAGACATTCTTTAGTTTAGATGTTGTTTAGTTTAGACGTTCTTTAGTTTAGTATATGTTCTTTAGTAGATAAGGATAAGGATGTTTATTGTCATCGTAAAAACACAACGAAATTAAGTTGGCGACTCATCAGTCAGTACAGCAGCAACAGGTAATAAATATATAAAAACATTAAGACAAGACATTACTGATTTAAAACAAGACATTAAATAAATATATACAAGATACTGTCAAGGCACTCTCGGTTTTAGTAGATGTTCATCTGTTTAGTAGATGTTCTTTAGTTTAGTTGATGTTTAGTTTAGTTGATGTTTAGTTCAGTAGATGTTCATTTGTTTAGTAGTTGTTTAGTTTAGTAGATCTTTAGTTTAGACGTTCATTAGCTTAAATGTTCTTCAGTTTAGACGTTCATTAGTTTAAATAGATGTTCTTTAGTAGATGTTCTTTAGTTTAGTTGATGTTCTTTAGTTTAGTTGATGTTCTTTAGTTCAGTAGATGTTCTTTAGTTTAGTAGATGTTCTTTAGTTTA